AAATATGGAGGTTTTGAAGTTTTAGGGCTTAGAGTGAATTTTTTTGTTCTGTTTTGGTTTCTGTGAGTGCAAGTTGCAGTGGGCTTAAAGGTTTGCTGCTTCTTGCAAGCATGGGATGCTTCACTTCATTAAAGCTAATGACCTTGCATCGAGCTGAATGCCATTAATCCTTCATTTCATTATTTTGATGCACCAGAGCTCAGCCAGGCTATATCAGAGTAGTTGCTATGTTCAGTGATATAAGTTCCCTACCTCAAATATAAGTAACTTGGTACCCAGCAGAATATTTAAGTGAAATTAGCTGTAAGCTTATGGTATTCAAAATGCATTCTGAAATTCTGAGTAAATTCTTTATCAGATGGCCTTTTTAAAAGGAAATGAAAGCATGTGAAGTTCCTCTGCCCGTAGGAAAGGTACCGAACAGCACGTATGATGAAGGTCCCAACTGCTGCCACAGTGTCAGTGCTTCTCTGGGTCGGGGAGAGAACAGCCTCTTCACATCTGGAAACTGCCGGTTCTGCATGCAAATATTAGGATGTAGTTTCTTTTTTCTGCAGGTATGAACATTTGCTTGCTAAATGCTGGGTATTGCTCTGAGATAAAACCGATACCCTGCATTCAGTGGCTCTCTACCCTGTCACTATTCAGGCTGATCCAGGAATGAGATCTCAGGATGTTCCCTTCACTTAACTCAGGAGGCTCTGCCTGTGCTAAAACACACTGTACCGGTATTAAAGGTGGCAGTTAGCATTTTGGGTGAACAATGAATGAGGCCATTTGTAACCAGTTATGCTGACGTGAATCTCTCCCAATGAATTTGCATCATTAAAACACCTTTGGAAAAATGTGTCATGCATATAATTAAATACCTGTTTTGCTAACTCTTAATTTAATTAATGCAAAGTAAAGATGGCAGCACAAATTAATTTAGTTGGAAATGGCTTTTCTCTCAGTGGGCTGAAGGGAGGTTTTCTGGAGGTGTTGTACCAGATGCCCTCGGAAACAGGCAGGTGAACTCCAGGACTGATTGACACAGTTTTTTTGATAGTGATGGCCATGATATCCTCTTAGCAGTACATATGCCATATATCAGCTCACTTTTTCTTTCCCCTTGTGAGAGCAAAGAGGGAGGCCAGCTGGAAGGTGGTTTCTTTGGGAGGACAGTGTAGCTACTTTTCAGCTCTACCCTGAGAGGTATTTGGTAGCAGCCACAGTAAATCCAGTTTCAGACAGGTGAATGAAAAGAAATTCATATAACAGAGGATCTTTCTATGTCTCCCCTTGGTTTTTGCTTCTGTACCTTGATCTCTTTCACTCGGTGCCCATGTTTTCCCCCCTTAGATATGACTTTCCTGTAACTGCTCATCCGCTTTAAATATTCATTCCACTTAACTTTCTTTAAAGACTTCCTTGTAGACTATCTTCTTCTGGTTTGACCTCTTTCCTAACCTTGTATATTCCTTCCACCCTGCCCCCCCCCACCATCTTTTTGATCTGTTTTTCCCTGCTGTTTAATCTCCTTCCCTTTCCTTTGCTTGGGATAAAACTGGAGCACAGACTGTGTTCACTGTGCATGTGCAGGTGAGTTGTCAGCCCAGCATTGTAGGAAGCAGGGAATCTGTTGTTGCTTCCTGCAGAGCCATCTGAGCACCAGAAGAATTAAAAAAAAAAAAAAAAAAAAAAAGTCTTACAATCTTCCAAAAATGCTAGATATTGCTTTAGCAGTTCTCATTTCAGCTTAAGTAAAAATAAATGCATGTATGAATGAAGACAGCTGCTGTGCACTACAACATGGAGTCTGGCTAGTCCTGCCACCTCTCTGCAATTTCAGGATCAGCATTTTCTATCTGGTATTTCCTTCAAGAGGGAAAACCAACCTCATTTATCAGGCAGGATTCTTTGGTACTGAGACTGAGTAAAGAACTGGTGCAGATGAGAGTGGGCTCTGGCTGACGGGCAGGAGCACATGGGTCCCCTGCAGCAGGACTGGCTGAGATGGGCTGCTCTGGGCTGGTGGTGCTCCAGGGAGGGAGGATGTGTTGGTTCAGGCAGGCACTTTGGGACCGGTACTGTGTACTCACCACAGACCGATCTTGAGTGGTGACTCAGATTGGTGTTGGGTAGCACTGGGAGGGTGCAGGATCTTGCAGGAGGGACTGGGGATTGGGGAGGATTTGTGGCTTGGAGCTCCCTGTGACATTGCCTGGTGCTGGTGCTCCACCAAGGCTTTGTGGGGTGACTTTCCTCCATACCCCAACAGATGAAATGAATGTAAATATGAAGCTGGTTTTGTCTATCTTTGGTAGCCTGAATACTCCTGGCTTCCTATCCAATGCTGACCTTCAGCATCATCCAGCTTTTGCAATTGGAGCCAGTGCTTTTAACAGTGCCTTTTGTGTTCACTTACTGAAAAACGGGGTCTGTTTCACAGGAAACTTGTTTACACCTGCCACAGTCGTCATCTTTGTTCTTCTTTTGCCCCTTTCACTGGAGCTGCAGTAGTTGAAACTGCAGAATGTCCTTTCATTCCCCAGCATCCTCAGCGCGGGACGTGACTGCAATAGAGCAGCTGGGGAGAGGATGCAGGGTGTGAGACCCACTTAGAAACGTTGGCCAGATGTGGACAGCTCAATGAGGAGGTGATACAATTTGGCTTTGGAAAGACTCAAGTGCAATGGATTATTATTTCTACTTCTTTTGTAGCTGTTCATTTTAGGGTTTACAAAAGAGCCCTCGGAGTACCTCCCTGCATGTACAGATGCACTAAAGCAACTCAGCAACTGTGAGAGTCCCCTCTCTGTTACCATTAGCAGGGGGTTGATAGCACTCGCTGCAGGGTTTGCCAGGCTTGTGCTTTCAGCTTTTCTGCAGGGGTAAATGGTAGTGTCCTTGTTGAGCTGAGGGGTTGAGCATTTTCAGACCACTAAAATTGCGAGTGGCTTTTTGGGGGTGACCCATGTGGTGCATGAGCCGGTGGGTTCATGCTGCAGCAGAGGAATGCGGGGAAGCCAGGGTGAGGGGAGGTGCTAGGACAGGAGGATTTGCAAAGCCGCTGTTGCAAGCGTTGTGCTCAGCCTGCTCTCTGGTGGTAGCTGCTGTAGCAGAGATGACCTTTGATAAAATGTGAAGCATTTGGTTTGATTTGGATAGTTGTGGTTGCTCAGATTCATACAGCTACAGTTCATAGCAGAGTCATCAACTCAGCTGCTCTTGCTTTTGTTCCCTTAACCCTGTGCAAAATTCACAGGTTAAAAATCAAATCACAGCAGCTTCAGGATGAGAACTGCCAACAAAGCCTGCTTCCTAGTGTTCTCCCCAGTGTAGGTTCTCCCTTGTCTGGTAAGGGCTGAGCTCTACTGCTCTTTTTTTTTCAGACTGGGGAGACTAGTAGGAGAGCAGGTGGAAGAGGTGCCTGCTGGCACAAAACATGGAAGAAATAAACATCTTTGGGTTCTTCAGTCAAATTTGGCTGAAAACAGCCAGCAGGTTCCAAAACTCTTGCCAGGATTGAGATACGGAGAGGCACTTGAAGACCACTTGATCATGATCTTGTACTGCCTCAGATGGGCTAGAGCCCACAGCATCCAGGGCAGGCAGGAGAGCTCTGGTGGAGGTGGAGCATCGCTGGTCTGCTCTGTTGAACATGGCGATGCTCTTTATTTAGATCAGCTGGTGGCAACATGCAAACTCTCTGGCTTTTTTGTGCGAAGCTGTTGTGAGGAAGGAAGTGCTTGGTAAGTTGTTCAAAGGAGGCAAGCCAGTCATGCTTGTAGAGAGCCTGGGAGAGAAGGTCGTGACGAGTGCTTCTGCTTTTCAGTCCTGAAAATAGCTGAGGGATGTTTGCTGTCACAAGAGTGGTGGGTTTTGATGATTTTAGATGGAAGAAAAGGAAGAATGGGAGAAATAGTTTTGGAGAAGGTTGTTGGGACCCTGTCCTGTCTTTGCTGACATCCCACTAGTTAAAGGTCAACCCCATTCGAGTTTCCTAAATAAACTGTCAGTGTGTTGAATATGTCTTCCAGCAGTATTTTGTTGCTGTATTTCTTATCAGGATTTGTTTTAACAATACCTGAGGGATGTGACAGTCACATGTGTGGCTTCTTTGTGCCGGAGACACCTTCAGGACTGAAGTGCCTGTAGGGCATAGCGAGCAGGTGTGACCATTTGCTGTTGAGGATGGAGCTAGCTCATGAGGCTTTTCTGTTGTATGAGACCTAATCAGGCAGCTTTGAGATTTCAGAGCAAGCAGGCACCCTCTGTTTTAATCCAGTTTCCATTCCTTTGACAGTCGAGGTGGGACATCGTTTTAGCATTTTATATAACTCTGTATTTTTCTTGTGGCTAGTAAAGTATTCATTTTGCCCAAGAACATGACATATGCTATGTCTTTGAATCCCAGCATTTATGACTCTGATGTTTAAAGGCAATTTAAGCAGATTTGGGGTTCTTTTCTTCCAGGTGAATTGCTGTGGTCTAGTCAAGACAACTTTTAGTAGCAGCAACCATGTGGAAGTATTGTCTTCTCACAATTAGAGATTAGGAGTTGACAGCGAATGAGCCAGAGATTATAATTAAAAAACAGGGTAATTCTCTGTGTGTGGTGAAAACTAAGGAATAAAAACTCATGGTGTAATGCACCTGTCAGTATTAGATGCAAATAAGAGATAATGTATCTTGCAGTGAAAGACATTTGGATTGTGTGTATTTCGTTAAGCACGGGAGCAATTCCTCCTATTCCATAGAAGCTGAGGGTTTTGTTCATTTGGTACTGATGCTCTTCTAGAAAGCTTTTACATCTCTGCTTCCTGAGGTCTGACATGGAAAAGGCTTCAATAGGCACCAGCTGCTCAATGGGCCATGTCTTTTCAAAGCATAGCTTGCTTTTCTCCATTCCCAATTAAAATGTGTGTTAAACTTAGTTTTTGTTTGAAGCAGCCAGCACTGTGGTATTTAATGTAAAAGGAATGTGCTCCTCACCTTTTCTCTCTCTTTTGTCGCAGGGTCAGCATTCTTCAGGGGAGGACATGGAAATCTCTGATGACGAGACCAACCCTGCACCTATCACCAGTGCAGAATGTGCCAAAACCATTGTGGTGAACTCCTCCGTCAGCAACACAGCCGTGATGGCCCCGTCAATTCCCCCCTTGCCACCACCAGGATTCCCTCCTCTTCCTCCTCCGCCGCCTCCACAGCCAGGCTTCCCGATGCCTCCGCCGCTACCTCCGCCACCTCCACCCACTCACCCCGCTGTCACCGTCCCCCCGCCTCCGCTCCCTGCCCCTCCTGGGGTCCCTCCGCCTCATATCTTGCCTCCGCTTCCTCCATTCCACCCTGGCATGTTCCCTGTCATGCAAGTGGATATGATAAGTGTCTTGGGCAACCAGTGGGGTGGCATGCCAATGTCCTTCCAGATGCAAACTCAGATGCTGAGCCGCATGATGCAGGCGCAAAACACATACCAGTATCCACCTTTCATGACGGGCCGGATGCAGTTTGTGAATCTTCCGCCCTACCGCCCTTTCTCAATGGGAGCAGCTCTTGGTCGTGGACAGCAGTGGCCACCACTGCCCAAGTTTGACCCCTCGGTTCCACCACCAGGTTATGAGCCGAAGAAGGAAGATCCCCACAAAGCCACCGTGGATGGAGTCCTCCTGGTCATAGTGAAGGAACTAAAGGCTATCATGAAAAGGGACCTGAACCGGAAGATGGTTGAAGTGGTAGCGTTTCGGGCATTTGATGACTGGTGGGATAAGAAGGAACGTCTGGCAAAGGTAGGCTTTCACATACTCTGTGCTGGATCCCAGGGAGAGCTCTTCATAATGTTTGTGGCCAGGGCATGGGTAAGAAGGGGTCTGGAATTGACTTTAAAAAACCCCAGAACCCTAAAATGTTATGGTAACTAAAATAGAAGCAAAAGGTAAAGCCATGGAATAGCTTTGCTGTGAGAAACCCTGTTGCTTGAGGCTGCTGAAATTAAATGGGAGGCATGCATGTCACTGCCTCACCTGGCTCCACGCCTCCCCATGGGGCTGGTCTTTATGCTGCGGCAAGCGGCAGGAGTGTGCACTGGGAGCGGCAGACCTCAGTCTGCAAATATCTAGAAAGTGCTCAATCACTACAGGCACCTTCCTCGGGACAGGTTAGCACCTGGGTATTAAACCTGGCTTGTTTTCCATGGTGTCACTCCGTATATGCAGGCATTTCATGCTGCTTTGCCATCAGAACAAACACAGGCTGGGAATTTTAGTCCTTCCTAGTCACTGATGGAGGTACCCCATGCAGAGTTATCTCTGAACGTGTGTGGAGCCATAACTGCTCACCTAGGAGTGAACTGTTGCTCTGTCTCACACCGTCCCACTGATTTGAACGTGGGCCTGAGTAAGAAGTGTTTAGTTCTCAGTGCCGTCCCTCTGATTTGGGGTGGACCTTCTGCTCGTCCCCTCCAGCTTCGGGGCCAGCTCAAGGCAGCCCTTTCCCTGTGAGGGACTAAGTGCATCTCGCGCCTTGCGAGGGTCTCGGAGAGTGTGTTCGTCTTTGGCGGCGCATTGCCCAAGCCAGCCTGCGTGGCTGCTCGGTTCGTCTTGGTGGGATACACTGGCCATGCTGGGGCATGATCCAGGAGGGATCTGCAAATGAGCTGGTTTTTCTGACTGTGTTTTGGAGGGCTGTAATGTCTTTACACAGGTGTCAGAAAGGGCATCGCTGCAGCCACTGCTGCCCCAGGGCATGGTCATGGTCTAGGTGACCTCCTGAGTGGCACTGCAGCCCTATGGTGCGTGTTTGCAGACTTTCTCTGCTGGGGGGGAGGAGGGGGGGCTTGCACACTGTGTTAAAGCTGAAGTCCACCAAGCAGTAGTCATAGGATGAGGCTAGCTGCTTTTACAGACAGAGCATGTACGCGTGGGAGAGTCCTTTTCACTTTGCTCCTTTCAGGAAGACCTTCAAGAGTGGCAGGGGGCTGCCCATGCAAAAGCCCAGGGTTATTCACTTCTCCTCTCCTCATCTCCTTTCCCTTTTCTCTCTCAGTGCAGTATTTCCAGGGCCTGAAATTTGAAAAGTTTAGCTGGTTTGGTGTTTTTTTTTTTTTTTTTTGTCATCTGGGGCACTGCTGGCTGCCTCCAGGAAGGGACTTACAGGAGGAAGTGACCTCCTATCAGGAGACAAATGTGAAGAGGCTTTGTGCATCTCAGAGGAAGCTGAACTTTAGCTCCAAGCTGCTATTTTGTGTTCCCCACTTTGTGTGATGAGATCTGTGGGTATTTCCAGTTCTCTGTGCTCTTCCCACCTCCCCAGTGGTGCAGCAGCAATTAACTCAAAAGCTGAACATTGGCCAAATACACGAGGAGTTCCAGGGATTAGTTAAGAAAACAGCTTTGCATGAATTGTCTGATCCTTTCTCAGCCAATTTAAGGCATACGTTGGCCAGCAAGCAGCTCTGTGATCTAATATGTGGTGAAGTTGTCACTACCAAAAACCAGCTAACACTATAGGAAGGTTCATGCAAGCCAGAAAACTGCTATTACAAGGAATTATTGTAAAACAAACAAACAAACAAACAACAAACTAAACCACAACCTGCAGATATATCTTCTGTTTCAGAAGCCAGTTTTCAGAGCAGTATCTTTACCACCTGCTTTTGTAAGCCAGTTGTGTGTTAACTCTAGCGCCTGGGAGAGCTCCTTAGCTTTCCAGAGAGGTTGGTAATACTGCTGCTTAACAGCTGTTTTATGACAGTGTAATTTGCTTTGGCTTAGAGCTGGCTGGCATGATGTGTGGCAAGAAATCTGGTCCCTCTTCTCCTGACTAATGCTCAGAGCTTCTGCCTTCTACCAGCGAGCGTGCGCTGACAATTTTGGAGGAGGCCCCTCAGTTTCCAGGGCAGTGAGGGAAACAGATCTAGCAAATAGTTGAAAAAGCAGCAACTGGTACTCAAGGAATTGTTTTAAACCAGACATCCACAGTGAAGAAGCAGAGACAAGTTGAAGCAGATCTTCAGCGGTTGCTTGGGCTCTTTTATATCCCAAGCTATAGCTGGATTTAGCATGTTCCTCCCTCACCTGGAATTTGTAACCCACTTTGGGAAGGGAAGCTGACTGTACCACAGCAGCTTGCCACAGTCCTTGCCACAGGTTATGTTGGATGTGAGCTGTCTAATTGAAAATATGAAATTGCTGCATGGAAAAACACTTGTGCTTTCTGTCCAGGAACAGAAATGTCAGAACCATTGCTGCTTTAGGGCCCTGCCTGGAGAAGCCTCTAGCAGGGCATATGTTACTGTCGCATGCAGAAAAATCTCACGCATTTCAGAGCCTCCTTTCTGCTAGGACTGGGCACCCTCTGACATTGGTGCAGGACAAGATTCCTTCTTAGTCATAAGCTGCTTGCTTTTGCCAAAGGAAAACAAAATATGAGTATTCAGCTTAAACTGCACCTTCCTGTTGCTGATGTATTTATGCACACCTGAGGATGAGCCGTCTAGCTCCTTGGCAGCTGGAGGTCAGTTCCCTGTGTACTTTGCCATCACACTGATTTTTCTAGAATGGACCAAGACCTCCAGGCACTGTTTGAGCTGAAATGACACTCCAAAACAGACCCTGCATCCCCATTTCCTCCCTCCTAATGGTTTTAATTGGAGGTCCTCATACTTTTTCTTACTGATTGACAGTAGTGAAAGAAATTATATTATTTTCAGAGGTTTGGAAGTATAAATAAGACAACATATGTGCTTGTTTACATCTTTTTTTCTTTAGAAATGAGGCAGATTTGTAGGGAGAGATATCTTTTAATAGCTGCAGCAGCCCTCCTGTTATTTTGCAGGAGAGATCAAAGCTCATTTTGGAAGTGCATGAGCTCCACTGTATGCCAGTTTCTACAGTAGGTATGTCCCTCTGGTCAGAGGCTTTGCGGGTCTGCTGTATCCCTGACCTTCCCCAAGCATAAGAGCAGGAAGCCTTGTGGGTTTCTTTTTTCCCCTGACTGACATACAGTGTTCAAGTTTAGTAGGACAGCAAATATTATCTACACAGTGCTGCTGGCAGCCCCTGAATCTTCACCGATGCACAAGAAGGCAACACGCTTGTCACCTCCTGTGCCTCATTTCTCTCTTTTTCTCACTTTTTTTGGCTGCTATATTCCATCAAAGGGATCGACTTGGGCAGCTGATTGACTGCCAGGAAGTATCATGCCATAACTAAAGGGTGGGAAAGCTCAAGACTAAAGCTGGTGTCCTAGGTCAGGCGGGATGGAAAATGTATGAGGTGAAAGCTGCTAAGGAGCATGTTGCTAGGGAAGGCAGCAAGTACCGTGGACCTCGTCTGCTTGAGCTAGGGGAAAGCTTTTCCCTGTTCCTGAACCTAGTGATGGGTTTAGGTTTGAAAGCCTGAGTAAGATGCATTAAGCAGAGTGCCAGGAATAACCAGCCATCCCTGGCCACGGAGTGCTGTTGCCTGGATTCTCTGCTTGATATTCCCATTAGTCTTGTCCCTTATTAGCAGGAGACCTGAGCTTATGCTTCCTCTTCAGTGATTACAGCCAGCTTCGGCAAATTAGCTCTGTTAATATCTGAAAGAGAAACCGACTTCTAGACAGTGTTACACCACTGGCTGATGTGAGTGAACGTTACCTCCAGTGCCCTTCACTCAAGAAAAGTGTGGCATGCCACCGTGCGTGATGGTCTCCCCAGCTCGTCCGCCTCTCCAGAGCTGCAGAGATTTGAATTCCTGCTCTTCCTTCACGCCTCGGCTCTGGTGAAAAGGGGTTTGTTGTTGCTGAGCAGAGATGAGGCTGTGTGTCTAGTTACTGAGTTTTGTAGACCCTTAGGTGTTTCACTTGTGTGTGATTTTTGACTTGCTATATTGTGCCTTACACTAAAAAGAGGAAAGTTCTTCCCAGCTAGAAGGTCTGAAGTTGCTTTCAGTTATGTGTGTTAGCAAATGAAGGTAGATAACACAGTGTTAGGCTAACTTGCCTAAATCATGCTTGAAATACTTGTAAGAGGTATATGTGTAGCTCTATTTCTCACATAGCTGTGACCAGACCAGATGGGCTCCTGCAGTGCTTGGGAGTTTGGGGGTAGTGGTGTATCCCAGCTCCTTGCTTCCCTTCAGAGTTCAGAACCTTTGTACAGTAGCTGCTTCTTGGCACTTGGTAGCTCCTGCTTGGGTGGAGGAACGTGTTCCCTTGGGCTGTTGAATCCTGCATTCATGTTTGCACCTTTTCTTCCCCTTTCATTTCTCCTTTTTACAGCGTTTGCTTCTAGCATCTGCGTTGGATTCTGGCTGTTTGGAACTTAATCACTGTGGTCCCCACACCAGGCGCTTGAGAGACCTGAAATGAGCCATGGGGGCTAATGGCCCTGTTCATTTCCCTTGTCCTTTCTTGTGAAATACTTTGGCCTATGTTAAGCTGCATGTGAAGAAAATTGAGATCATGTTTTAAAATACTCAGTGGAGAAAGCAGGAGTGTCTGCTACCTACCAGCGTGATGGCTCCAAATGCAAGATCACTTAGTGTTCCATGCTAAGCCACTGTTCTGGGAGTCCCAGCAGTTTTGTCTTGATCAGTTTTAGTGCCTTGTGCAGAGAAAATAACTTCTTAAAATGCAAAGGGGAGAAGGCTTCTCAGAAATGGAAGGGTCTCATTATCAAGAAGAGCTCTTGCACCTTCTCCCTTTCAAGTGTGTGTGGCCATGTGGTGCATCTTCAGATGCCATTGCTTATAGAGAAAATTATGCTTGGGCAAGGCAGTGATATTTCACAAACTTTATCTGTCTAAATGGTTTCCAGAGTTTGTGTGCTTCCCAGGAAACATTCCCTCTCAAGTGTGCTTTCTCTGTTGCAGGCGTCTCTCACTCCAGTGAAGTCTGGAGGAGAACTGGAGGAGAAACCAAAGCCAAAGGATCGAATCACATCTTGTCTTTTGGAGAACTGGAACAAAGGAGAAGGCCTAGGATACGAGGGCATTGGCTTGGGCATTGGGTTACGAGGGGCCATCCGGTTGCCATCCTTCAAGGTAAAAACAAAGATCAGTCTTCATTATGCTAATATTCCCTAAAGGAGTATTAGGAGGACAGACCTCTCTAGGTTTGTGCTCCAAAGCCGTACAGGCTGTTAGCCCCAGTCTGTGTTGACTTACGGGGTTGCTGCTGACAGCATCAGCTGTAACGCACCAGTACACTGTAAGAGCAAGGATCCTCTTTCCCAGCCTTAGCTTTTCATTTACCACTTGTGTGAATTCTCTGTAAAGGATCTCCTTGCTCTGCAAGGTAAATGGGACATTTGCGTGTGTTTAGGACACAGTGTTTCAGCCTGATTGTAAAAATATGCTTATGCTCATAGTGCTTTACACAGTTATTTCTTTGCTTAGAATGTCTTGCAGTTTGGCAGCTGAGTCTCACCTGAAGTTTGGTTAAAAGTGTTCTCTGCCTCATGTGAGTTTACAGAATCAGACTTGCAATCATAGGGTCACCTATTTTAAAGAGCATTTGCATAAAAAATGAAAAGTATCTTAAAAAAAAGTGTGGGGTGGGAGATGGTGTGGAAGGGTAGAGAGCTTCCCTGAAATTAGGGTTTTGAATGCACAGAAGGTGCAAGTAGAGGTTTGGGATGAGAGATTCTGCAGTCTTCATTTAGAGTAAAACTTGCTTTGAGGTTCTTTAAGATGTCAAAGGCTCAGGCTCTCTTTCTGTTCTGCTACATCTTGGACACATGGATTTGTCAAGTTTTCTCTGTCATCTTCAAAGTGATAGTATCCACAGTGTTTTGATGCAAATTGAAGGGGTAGAATTTCATTCACAGTGAAATTCTGTTTGCAAGCAAATAAAGGGATCAAGAGCTGGGGAAGTGGCCCTTGGTTACTGTGTGTAAGTCACTGTGGGGAAGTAAAGCAGTAGCAATTTGCTTAAGAAGTTGATTTCTACTGTTTCTAAAGTTTTAGAAATGCTAATTGTGTCTTTTGTTCAGGTGAAAAGAAAGGAGCCACCTGAAGCTGCCTCAGCAGGAGATCAGAAGAGAATCCGGCCTTCTACTTCTGTCGATGATGAAGATGAAGGTTTGCAAAGCACATTTGTTTGAAACTCGAGCAGATGCAAACCACATGCAAGCTGAATTCTTTTAAACTTCACAGCAGCGTGCTCACTTACAGTTAGAAACAGAGTCAAGGATCTGAGCCAAAACCCTGCTTCTCACAAAACTTGGATCAGCTGGGAGATGTCTCCTCTGGATTCAGTTATCTTAAATTCACTGGTGGGAAATTTAAGACCCACATTTTATGAATAACTTATAACCTATTTTAGTTCTGCTGATGCAGAGCTACCCAGTAGAGGGAGCTCAGATGAGTTCATGGACTGTTCGAGGGGCGTGCTTGCAGCTCAGTGGGTATGTTGTGGGAGAAAGCACGTAAGAGTTTGCCCTGCATTTGATTTTAAAAACAAAACAAAGTTATTTGCTAGAAAAAATCTATTTGAAAATATTTTAACAGTTTTTCCTGAAAGCAGGGAAGAGTAAAGACAAAGCTTTGAATACCCTTTGTTTTGCATAAGTGGATTCAAGCTAGTTGTGCCATAAAGTTGATTCAGACTAACAACTGGTTTTGAAGCCAAAGTACAGAAGCAGGGTTTTGTAAAGCACTTACATAAAACAAAAAAGCATTAAATTCAGCTTACCTGTTCTGACCTCTGTCGTGCCATCTCTCCTAGCTGCTCCGCCTATAGCTTGTCAGGTTTGGCCACCTGCATTTTGCCATCCTTGGCATTTCAACACCCTGCATCCAGTCTCGCCCTCACTTGCACTGTGAAATTAGTAAGTCCCTGTAAGCCTGGGAACTCACACACCACATGGGCACGTTGCCCTTAACTTTGATCTTCCCAAAGAAAAAGTTTCCATTATGTAGTCAACTCTTTCCCTCCCTTGCAAGGTATTTGATGGCAATTTCCTTACTGTTTTTGCTCACCAGAGTCGGAGAGGGACAGGGATGCTTCCGATACAACATCTGACCTGTCAAAGAAGGATGCAGAAGCAGTGGGGCTGAGGCGGCGACCAGCAAGGCCGCTGGAGCTTGACAGTGAGGGAGAAGAGGGAGATGAGACATCAGAGAAAGAGGAGGAGTCCTCCTCAGAGAAGGAAGAGGAGCAAGAAGAAGAAGGAGGCTTGGTGAAAGCAGCACCTGGCAAGGTGTGTTGGTTTGTGATCGCAGTTTTGAATGCTGTCGTTAAAAGGGGGCCTAGTAATTCCATATGCCAAAGTTACCTTCTCTAGAAGATGAGCGGTCCTATTAGGGTCTGCCCTAAGAGAACCTCTGTAAGGTTATTCCCTCTTCAGGTTCTCTGATCAGCATCTCTGAGAGTCGCTGGTGGTTACTACAGTGACAGCCAGGTCTCAGAGTCAGACACTCTTCATTTTTGGCAATGCTTTCTTTCAAAGGAGGAAGAGGAGGAGGAGGAGGAAGAGGATGATGAGGATGAAGAGGATGATGATGAAGAAGAGGATGATGAAGATGATGAGGAGGAGGAGGAGGAGACAGGCATAGACACAAGTGACAAGGAAGAGGAGCAGGACTCTGAGGAGGGTAAGCAGTTCCAGTGGAAGCAGCAAGCGTAGCCTTTGGGTCAGATGTGGTCTCCTTTTTTGTACTTGTGAGCTGATTTTTTTTATTTGTGCACCTTCTTTCACTGAAGGGTGGTTTTATACAAGATAATGCATACAGTTATTTTTAGTTGTTACCTGTGAGGCTTCCATAATCCCTCAATCTGTGGATCCCTTTGCAATAGCTCTCTAGCTCCTGAGTGATCTCAGCCCAACTTGACAGAGGGGCAGAGGTCTTAAAGCCAGCTAAGTTTGTGCTTGTTTTATGAAACGTGTGTGGCTGGGAGAAGGGACCAGATTTCAAACAGGAGTAATTTAGCCGCTAATAACTTTCTGTCCTATCAATCAATTCCTGCTTTCTGGAAGGTGGTAGTTTCTACATTTTAAAGTTGTGTGTGAAGGCAACAGAAAATCTTAGTACAACTCCAGTAAAGGTGAAATCCTCCAAGAGACCCACATGGGCAAGGTGCCAGGCAGTGCTAGCTCTGCTGCTCATGGAACTGCCTGTTGCATGGTGATTGTTGTAAGCATCCAAATACATGGTTTATAAGTCTCTGCAAAAATAAATTAATTGGGAGGCAACTCCTTCAAACCCACACACTGCTGTTGATGCTGTTTCCATGCTGTTACAGTGTGGAAGTGATATTTGCTCCTGTACTAGACCCTGATTGTTTAATGGAGTCAGAAAGCGGAACTAATGGTAATTTGTTCTTACTGTAGATGCAGCAAGTCCCTCGTCTTCTAAGGCTGAAGTTGAATCATCTGATGAAAGTGAGGACTCCTCTGAATTTGAGTCAAGTTCAGACTCAGATGATGAGGATGAGGATGATGAAGATGAGGAGGAGGAAGAGGAGGAAGAGGTGGCTGAAGATCAAGACGGAGAAGCCATGGTTGCTGAGACAGAGCATGAACCTGCTGGTCATGAGCTTCCTGATGATGAGAAGGAGACTATTTTGGAGCTGTATCCTGTGGATGACTACACAGATCCAACAGACTTGAGACTCACAGAGCCAGCTTTGGCAGTGAAAGATGAAGGCATGGAAGAAATCAAGGCAGGGGAAAGTGAATGTGGTGAAGTCCCAGAGGCATCTATTGCTGCTGAAACACTGAAACACTTGGTTATGCAAAGAGACCAGGAGACAAAACTTGCACTGTCTCCCATCTGTGGGCCAGGTATGCCCTTCCATGTGGTTTGGCATTTTTTACCATATTTCCAAGTACAGCGTTCTCACAGCATCTAATATGTATGGTTTTGTATTTCCCTTGTTCTCTTTCTTCCTCCAGTCTTGGCTCTAGGCTAGGGGTTATCTGTACAGGAAGGAGGTCTGTGCTGAACTTCCCTTTCTAGAAAGGAGCTCTACACAAGCCACCTGCTACTGAAAATACTGTGGTTATTGTATCCAGAATCTTATCCTGGGCCAGTTTAGTTAGTGTCCTACAGGAACTGAACAGTTGTTGTTGTCCAGGGGTGACTGGATGGTGTGGTGGCTGAAGCTCAAGATAGAAAAGCCATGGCTGCTAAAACGGAACAGGAATCTGTGCTTAATAAGTCACTACTGGCTCTTTTTGATTTTAATACTGAATGAGTATGTGATTGGGAAGCTATATGCGGCAGGTGAATGGAGTCTCAGAATCATATCTGGTTCCTAATATTACTGTTTGTGTTTTGGGTTGTTTTTTTTTTACTTAATCCTTTTAAATGAGTGATACTCTCTGTTTTTCTGGAAGAAGAAAATTGTCTTCATTCAATGCAGAGTTGTATTTAAACCAAGGAAATTAGAAACCTTTTACTAGAACAGGAGTGAGATGCATAAAGCTTGACAAATTCTGCAGCTAGGGGGGAATTGAAAAGTTAAAAACTGGAGCCAATAGGGAGAGCACATCTAGTGTGGCCTGCAGTGGCCTGGGCAGGACTGGAGTCTGAGGACTGCACCATATTTTGCCACTTGGAGAGTTGGAAATCCAGTCCCTGCACAGGCTATAACTCCTTGGCTGCCATAAAATCTGAGAGCTGTAAAGAAGCAAAATGTTAAACTGGGCAGGGCAAAGAAGAACCTATTTTGCACAGATCTTTCTGGAACATGTCAGTATGCAGAAAGGACATAAATTTGGGGAGACCTGCTTTTGGGCACCTTGACATGTGGAATGAGCTTTACAGGTAAGCTGTGGGAACAAGCTCTGACTGTAGCGTTTTTGTGCAACCCAGCCCGGTTGTACAGGAGTTACAGGGATCTGACCCTTCAGCACAAATGGGGAATGCTTCCCTTCCAACTCCCCAGGCATTTTCACCTCCTTTTGCTCTCTCACTTGAAAATGTTATTTTGAGCTGCCTAACAAGAATTCACTGTTGATTCCTTTTGGCCCTGGCCCTAAGGGGGTAAATAAACTCCAGACAAATGAGTCTGCTGCAGAGAGCGCAGCATATAAATTGCCTCATTGATACCATCTGAGTGTCTCCTCATTCATTACAAGGGCTTCCCGTTCCCTTCATGTGTTGTTCAAGAGTGTTATGCTCCTCCCTTCACTGCTCCCTCCTTGGAGAGCTGAGGGTGCTTCTTGGCCTTGCAATTAGTTTACCTTCCCACATTAGAAAAGCTGATAGCTTGGGGCTCTGACAGCTCTCTGAAGTCCTCGCCCCACAATCCGCTAATTCGTTTTATGTCTGTACAAAAGGTGGTCAGGGGTTTTGAAAGCAGAAAACCGTTGTTCTGGCCAGTGTTGTAGCTAATCCTCAAATTAATAGTGCATTTTTTTTATCGTCCATTAGGGATGTCTGTGGTAGCGTCTAATTACTCCACACTCTGTGCCTCCAAAATGTAAAGCATTGGAGTTTTTAAAGCCTCCCAGTGGAATTGAGCTGTTCTGTAATTGCAGAATCTTAAACATGCCTTTACTGGCAAGTGGCGAGTAACCGAGTGGAAGCAAAGCTCCTGATTCTCCTCTTTTTTTCCCCCTTTCAGAGGAAGAGTCTGAACCCGCTACCATGCTGGAGCCAGAGGTGCAGGAAGGTCCAAAGCCTGAATCTCAAGATGAAGTGCTCTGTCTCTCGACTCCAGTGGGAGTCTTCGGAGAACTTCTGCCCAATAAAAGCAACTTCTTTAGCAAGTCTGACGACAGCAGCTTAGAAGCTCGTGTTAAAACAAAGCTGCCCTCTGCAGCAGAGGAAGATGAACGGGTGCCTCGCACGCCTGGACGGGAGGTGATGATCCATTCGGAGACTGATACTCTTTTGCTTCCAGCCCACAAGGTGCCATCCTCCATGCTTCCCTTACCACCAACTCCTGGTAAAGAAGAATCTTTAGTCCCTCCAGAAAAGTTCCCTGAACAATTAATGGTGACCAAAACGTCTGTGGAAGAGGAGATTCCTAGGACGCCTGGGCGGGACATTTTGGCCAAGTCTTCACACCCCCTTGCGAAGTCACAGAGCACGGACACTGTTCCAGCCACGCCAGGAAGCGATGCTTCCCTTATGGGAAGCAGCTTGACCCTCAGTTCCCCTCAAGTCCCAGGGAGCCCCTTTTCCTACCCATCCCAATCTCCTGGCATTAACAGTGGCATTCCTCGGACTCCTGGGAGAGATTTCAATTTCACGCCTACTTTCCCAGAGGCTGGTGCTACCATTCCTTGCCTTCTGCCTGGCAAGAAACAGTCAGAGGATGAGCTAGATGAGAAACCCTTTAAAGAGCCTCTTGGTGCTTCCCTTACGATCAGCATGAACAATGTTCCTTCCCCTATTCCCTTTGCCAGCCCCCCCCAAGCAGATTTCCACACGGACATGGGTTTGCCACCTGATGAGCCAATACCTGTAGCAGCCCTGCCATGCATGCATGGAGATGGAAGAATGCCCATTGAGGAATGCAAGGCAGAAGTAAAATCTGTTTTGCTCTCACCAGAAGTACCCACTGGTGCTTCTATTCTTCCTCCCCCACCACCGCCTTCTGTTCTTCCCAAAAGGAGGCCAGGTCGGCCAAAACGGTCACCACCTTCTGTCCTCTCGTTGGATGTGTACTCGGGCAAAACCATAGAACCTCCTCCTGTGCCAGTGGCCTTGGTGGAAAGTACTGTGGGCAAAGAGCTGTTGAGTGGACATCCTGATGCTTTCTATGGACTTAAAGACCCTGAAGCCGTTACCCTGGACTTCAGGAATGATGGTTTCCATGAGAAAATAGCAGCTGAGACAGTTGCAGAGAAACTGCCATTTAAGGAACTGGAGAACCAGTGGAATGAAGACTACAAAGAAGAAGAAGCTCACGCGAAACCTAAAAGACAGTGGCGAAGGCAGAAGAAGACACCTGAGGACCTACCAGTGATTCCTTCCCCTGAGTATTCCCCACCCCGGCCTCAGTTCAGGCCACGCTCCGAGTTTGAGGAGATGACCATTTTGTATGATATTTGGAATGGAGGCATAGATGAGGAAGATATCAAATTCATGTGTATCACATATGACCGCTTGTTACAGCAGGACAATGGTATGGACTGGCTCAATGACACCCTGTGGGTATTCCATCCTTATATCCTTTCTCACTGGCGCTCTGCGTTATACAACACGTGTAAAATGCACTAGATGGTCATTGTTTAGGACTTAAAATGTAAAAGATTTAAGTTTGGTGGAAGAAGCATTTGCTTACTAGAATAGCAATTGCTTATATCAGGAGGGAATTTTAGCCTATTCTATTCCCTGAAGCTGCAATACAAAAATACTGCAGAAGTGGCTGTTCTTGCTGCATTTTCAATCTAGGACTGCAGGGAAAATCTGTATGCATCTCTTCTGGGGAGATTTCCTTGCTAGTTTGAGAAGCTTCTGTCTGCATTTAAACCAGACTTTTTTTCAGCTTGCCTGTAGAATTTCTAGTCTGCACATACAGGGCTTTAACTTGGGGCTAAAACTTGCTGTAAAAATAGTCTCACCATCTGTGCCCAAAATGATGAGTTACTGGTGCTAGCAGCTTTAACTTGCTTTAAGTTTGAAATACTAATAAATGCAATGGTTTCTAAGTGGCACATCAGCCACCCCCCAGGGCTACATGGGGGAAGGTACTGCTAGTGCTGCAGCAAGGAGCGTGTGTAGCACTGGCTGGTGCTGGTGGGGCAGGGTCTGGCCCCATCCCCTCCCTCCCTGCCCACGACCTGGTAATCAGCAGCATAGGCTGTAGCTTTGAATCTTTGGGAGCATTTTTGGGACACACAAGCTGTCTCAGAACAAGGCTCTACATGTGTGCAGCCACCAGTAGTGATCTCCAGAACAGAGCCTAAAAGGCTGTTCTCATAACCTCTGAACTCTCTAGTAGTGGTTTTTAGGAAGGATATATGGATTCATATGTTAAAGACGACAAATGCACCACCTCGTGTGTTGCTAGAGATTGTGTGTAGTTAAAGTATCTCATCCCTTACTCCCTGCAAGACACAAAAGCAAAATCAAAAAAGCCCAAATCACTTAAAATAGTCAGTGATATGACACTAACAAGAAGCAAGTGGAGCTCAGTGCTGAACTGTGCATTTTTATCCTTTCTTTCTCTGCATCTTGAAGGGCAACGTGTAAGATTAAATTTATAATTTTCATACCAGTGCAATAGTCTTGAAATAAGTTTATTTAATTGTTTAAAGGAAATATCCTAAAAGGATGATGAAACACATCATCCCCAGTAATTCTCAGTCTGTCTGCCTCATTTGGGGAAGCCATTCCGAAACCAAACCGGTTTCAAGGTGGGAGTAATTGGCCCCGTAGTGGTGGGGAGCCACAGCCAGGGAAAGGCAGAATGGGTTGGATGAGGGCGGGGCTTGCGTGTGACCCTGCGCTTAAATGTGTTTGCATTTGGCATTGTGGAAATATTTGAAATCTGTTTCCCTGTTGATAAGGATTATTGTAAGAGCAAATTTACAGTCACTTTTAAAACCATTTAAAAATCATCTGCAGTCGGTTGCTGGTTCATCCTGAGCTATACTGTGCAATAGGTGTGAAAGTACCTACAGGGTTCACCTGCTTTGCAGCAAGCTCACACCTCAGCACTCTGATTTCAGGGCCATCACTTCTTGCTTTTTATGGTCCCTTTGCTTCAATTTTCTGGTGTTAATGGTATGTTATGACTCACAGGGAGCATTTTTGGATAGATCTCAATTGTCATAGGCTTCATGGCTGTGTTTTTGGGGTGACCTGCCAGTAGTACAGCTCCACTGTCCTTCCAGAAGCCAAAGACCTGAAGGTGCCTTCTGCCTGCTCAATGCAGTGCATCCTTGCCAGGCCGGCTGCAGGTTTTCTTGACTGATAGGACAGTGGGGTTTGAAACATCTGCACAGGGTCTTACCCTTGCCATCAGGGTCTGAAGGAGCTGATTTACTGAGGGCAGTGAGAACAGTGTCTCTCCAAGCCCTTTGGGCTGAGGACCATCTCTTGCCCATCTGTGCTGCTTCTAGCCCTAGTCAGTGGGGATGATTGCTGCCATGAGATCGGTGTGGCATCTTCAGGGCTTGGGGTGGCTGCAGGGAGTTTCTGGAGGTAGAACAAAAGTGTGTCACTCCAAACAGAGAAAGCGGTACATCCAGATGGCTGGGCAGCTGCTGGCTGTGTACATAGTGGGTGCTGTGGGGAAATCCTTTCTCAAACAGGTTTCTCTTGACAGTTTAACCTTTTTATGTTTAAATTTTCATTGTCTCTTTACTTTTGTTTCCCAAAGCATGCAGCTAAGAAGGAAAGATCATGCTCGGTTTTCCTGTAGGCATTGGGCTTCAGTGATGTTTTTTTTTATTTTTCAATAGTATTGTTATTTTTTGCAACCCCCCCAACCCTTCCTAATTTTCCAAGCTCCTGGCGTTAGCTCCATGTAGCTGTAGCAAGTTTTGTCTGATATCCACTGGTGGCTGTGTTTCTCCTTGACTTCTCTCCACCTACTAGCTTTTCTACCCCCAAGAAAAAGAAGCGGGATGATGGGATGCGGGAGCATGTGACGGGCTGTGCACGAAGTGAAGGCTATTACAAAATTGATAAGAAGGACAAACTTAAATACCTCAACAATAGCCGAGCTTTTGCAGAGGAGCCTCCAGCTGACACGCAGGTGAGGACCTGTCCTCCACTGACTGCAGGGGTGTGAATGGATTTTATACGGTGTCACACAGTGGATGCTTCCTGCCTTTTGGCAAGGAGGGAGGTGAAGCTGTTGCTGCGCCTGTGTTGAGTTGGTCATCTGGAGGTGTTAGTGTTTGATGTGGGATGTGTTAGGAGGCCACGCGTTCTGTGGTGATGTGTTGTAGCACAAGGGATTGCTCACAGGGAGGCTGCAGGGTGTTGGGTCTGTTGGGTCAGTTTTGATCACCCATTTGTCCTCACAGGGTATGAGCATCCCTGCCCAACCTCATGCTTCCACCCGGGCTGGCTCTGAGAGGCGGTCAGAGCAACGCAGGCTCCTCTCCTCCTTCACTGGTAGCTGTGACAGTGACCTGCTCAAGTTCAACCAGCTCAAGGTAGGTCACCCCATGGATTGCTGCTTTGCACAGGGGCTGGCTGGGAGCAGGCTGAGGCCAGGGCAGGGGACCTCCTGCCAGTTTGGTCTCACCTTGGTGATGGCCGTCTCAGCATTGGGCACTGCTGTATGTGCCAGAGGATTGAATGGTACCTGGTTCTCCTGTACTCCTTTGTAATGCAACTTGATACAACAATACAACTTAATACAATGTGTAATACAAATAATTTACTTAAAGAAACAGGGAACACGTGACACTTAGTCCAGTGTGCTCGCTTGTGAGAAGTAGAGACATGAGCTGGCTGATAAATGACTATAAATAAGTATATGATAATTACAGAGCTTGAGCCCTAGTCAGAACCATCAGGGTTCTGCAGAACAGAGACCAATGGCCTCAAAGGGTCTGTTCTCCCCAGTGTCTGGTCAGTGGTAAAAACCCAAGTACTGCAACTCTGTAGGACCTCCCATGACATCTGTCCTGCCTTCCTGTCACAACAAGACAGAAGGAAGCTAAATTGGCTTGAAGTACCCCAGCACTGCTTGTGGCTTGGAGCGTGCTGCAGATGCTGGACCCAGGGAAGGCCTTTCCCCTTCTGTGCTGTGGCTCATTCAGGGTTGGGGTTTTGGGGTGTTTTCTTCATGCAGTTCCGGAAGAAAAAACTAAAATTCTGCAAGAGCCACATTCATGACTGGGGCCTTTTTGCTATGGAGCCCATTGCAGCTGATGAGATGGTGATTGAATACGTGGGTCAGAACATCAGGCAGGTAAGCTGGACTGTGAGTGAAATCTGAGCAAAACCTAGCCCTGAAAGAAGTGCACGAGTATGACAGCTGGGGTCACGGTCCCTGCTGTAAGGTGTTAGCTACGTGAGCTAGGCGGAGGTTGGCATATGGTTTGGAGGTACAATGGTGGGATTTTCAACAGCCTGTAGAAACTAAGCACTCAAATCCTTAGGGGACAAGCTCTAAAGAAAGTCCATCCTGAACTTCTGTGTTTCAGTTAGGTCTGTGTTCTCTTGGGGTGTTTGGGATCATGTATCTGTTGAGTGGCACAAGCACAGCTCAGGGGAGTGTCGTGTAGGTCTCTGCTCACAGATCACTTTTGTGGCATGTCCTGACGCTACAGATGGGGTTTTCTGTAGGTCATTGCTGACATGCGTGAAAAGCGATACGAGGATGAAGGCATCGGAAGCAGTTACATGTTCAGAGTCGATCATGACACCATCATCGATGCCACGAAATGCGGAAACTTCGCCAGATTTATTAATCATAGCTGCAATGTAAGTATCATGTTTTTGCATGTAATTGTACTCTGACATACTGATAAACCCACTGAGTCCTTGCTAACTTTGATTGGGGCCATGTTCAGAAGTAGCAGGGGGTCACAGGTTTATAATTAAACGTTAATGAGCTGCAGCGGTTCAAAGCAGAGTCTAAACTAGTGTAAAGAGATTTAGAGACCTGAGAAATGAAACACACAGTGAGACAGAGCGCACTCGGAATCCTCCTGACTGTGTTGGGGGATCCTGACAGACACTGTTCAAACATATCTAACAAGTATTTCCTTAAAACAAACCAAATTTTAGCATTGTTATTCTGTGGGAACAGTCTCCTTCTAGTGTCTGCCCTGGCAGGTAGAGAAGCTGCTTTCCCCTCTGCTCTCTGCTGCAGTCTACACTGAAAGACTTGGCTGCCTGACCAAATTATTAAGCATTAGTTGAGCTGCTTTTAGTCTGTGACAAACTTGGTTGAGCATCATTCAGGCTCTTTTGCACCACAAATGACCAGAATGTGGATATTTTGGAGGAGCACAAGGAGGGCTGCTCTGTTTTCTGGCTTCACACCTGCCTCTCTCAGCTTCTGTTGGGTCTAGGCTCTGGAAGTATGGCTGAGGCTATCTAGGGAAAGGACTACTCTGCTCTGTTTTAGCTTGGAATAATTGTGTGGAGGCTGGGAAGCCATGGCCACTGGGAGCCTAAATCATTACCTGTTCTGTCATCCTTGCAGCCAAATTGTTATGCTAAAGTGATCACAGTGGAGTCTCAAAAGAAGATCGTCATCTACTCCAAACAGCACATCAATGTGAATGAGGAAATTACGTATGACTACAAGTTTCCAATTGAGGATGTAAAAATCCCATGTCTATGTGGCTCTGAGAACTGCAGGGGAACCCTGAACTGAACTCGAGGTTTCTCGTCACACTTGCACCTTCGGCCATGTCAAAACTGTGGTAACCAGGTGTGGTTGCACTTTGCCAAAAAAAGAGGAAAAAAAAAAAAAAAAAAGAAAAAAGGAAGAAAAAAAATTTAAAAGGAAAAAAAACTATTAAAAAAAAAACAAGAGAGGAAAAAAGAGAAGAAAAAAACCAAGCAAGTTTCGCACTTCTGCCAGGATCACGAATGGAAGCAAAAAGCGCACATGCTTATGAGGACTGTTCATGTTTCAGGTGCTCTTTCCTTTTCAGATCCAACACGCACACAAAAAGGTGACTACCGTTTTGTGGCATGGTCTATCCAAACACTAGCTTCTCTGTTCAGTCCCTACATTAATGCTCCATAATGGGATAATGGTACCTTTTTTAAAATTGTCGTTATAAACCTTCATCTTTTCATAAATGCTGCTACCTTTTTCTCATCAGTTTTGTTGGTTGAAAAAGACATTCAACATTTAAATGTGAAGCAGAGACTGAAAATGCCATATAGGATTTGTTGGGAGCTTGATTGGCTGAAATTGCACAGATTTCTCAGAGTAAGCTGTAAATAAATGTAAGATTGATGTTACAGAGCAAGCCAGAGGCTTGAGGGTGTGTGAATGGGTGGGTGGGTGTGCTTGGGTGTGTGTATGTATGGAGATGTGTCCGCAATGAGACTATAGGTGAACTGTCCTGCCTTTTTGTTAGGGATGAGCCTGAATAAGTCCCCTAAGCCAGACGCCCCAGGGAAGAGTCAGGTCAGTCGCAGACCTCAACATGGCACCTTGGGCTCGTCTCTAATTTTCATATGCCGTGCTGGTATATTGGGGGATCAAAACCTCTGCACCCATACGTGAAAAATACTTGGATACTGCAGTCAGTAGTAAGAAGTCAAGTCAGTTGTGTAGCTGTAGCATTGTGGTATGGCGTGTGGCCTTTGGGGATGCCCATTTCTTGGAGATTGGTTTGTCTTGCATGCAAAAAAGGCTGAGGCTGAAATTAAGTGGACAATTCAGCCTGTGTTTACGCTGTAGAAATCTTACCCTCCTTGTAAGCATACACTACGGCCCACATTTATAACATGATTTTCTTCCTGTAGGTAAGAAACAGGCTGATGTGTGTCTTGTATTAATTTTTCTCATTTTTGTCTGCATTTCTCTGCCCTTCCAGCTTTTTACGTGGAGTATTTGCTCTGTCCTTGAATATGGGAAATGCCTCCTGTGATAGGAACAAGCTGTGCCACGCCATTCTCCTCCCTCTGTTACTCAGTAACTTGCCCTGACATGGTCACATCCCTCCAGTAAGAACACAGTAAAAGTGTCCCTGAGAGCAGGCTGTGGGAGCAATCCTGTCCTCCCCCATCTACAGCATGAAAATGAATGCTTCTTTAAACTTGGAAGGCATATTTTGAAATGATTTTTTGATATGTTTTGTCCTTGTAGATGTGCTGAGGTGAAGGTTGCAGTTCTTTGAGAGGTTCCGTTTTAAAATGGGGCAAAACACCAAAGAAATACTTCTTTGGATGTGATCTGGAATTGTTACACGACCGTTCAGATATAGACAGGATCAGTTTTTCAACTTGCATTGAATTTCTCCTGCTTTTAAAAGTAGAGATTAGTTGTACTAAAACCTTTTTAATTGGCTTATAAGGGGAAGTTGCAATGACATTATGAAATAGGAGGATTATCTGCATAAACATCTTCTCCCCACAGAACAAATTGCTCAGCTGTATTCTTGTAGCCTTTCAAAATCAGTGATAATTGTTGTATGACCACAGCTCCATCATCAGAGGTTACACTCTTGCAAAAGAGTTTCCTGGAAGTTTTTTCATCTGTTACATGGAATTGCCAGGCCCGCACTGCGGAGTGGAGCTTGTAATGTAGGTTAGACCGCTGCATCTGCATTTCTTCTTCAGACAAAAGGCCTGAAAGAACAGGAACATAGAGACTGCTACAAGCTGCCTTAATACCTCCTGTATTTCTGTCTGAGGGTGAGGAAATTGTCACTGAGATTGGACAGTCCATAGTCTCATCTCTGTTTTTGTTTGGTTTTTGTTCTGTTCCCCCCCTCGCTTTATAAATCTCTCCAGCAATTGGGTAATGGTGACCCAGACCCTAAAATTATGAGAAGCACAACTAGTTTCTGTCATTGAACGTTGGTTGTAACTGTGGCAATGGCAGGAGCATTTGGGAGTTAAACCAGCTGCTCTATTTTTTTTTTTTTTTTTTTTAAATAAGGTTCATCTTGTGTTGACGCTCCAATTGGCATCTCTACAGCTTGGCCTTTTACTTTCAAAGCTTTGGGAATGCACAGAAGTTTCCTGTGTCTCAGAACTGAAGCAAGCCCCTGTGTGTGGCAGTTCTGCTGATGTCCTTGGCCTTCTTCCTCTCTGGTCCATCAAACCAGTGCATTAACAGTGGTTTTGTGGGGGCAAAGACGCCCCAAATGGCCCAGCCCCTAAGTACCTGTTGACAGTTTTGTATTTCCCTGCATATCTGTGTGCTTTGGATGGGATTAGCCCCTGCAGTTTGCCTTAATCTTTGTTGAGGAGAGGTGGGGAGGCAGGTCACCGTCTTCTGAAATAAGAGCTACAGGTTGGGGTCCTTCACCGTGTTTTTAGGAGTGCCAAAGGCATTTGGGTGCCAAAGGCGATGAGCACCTAAGTCACTTGGGTACTTCTGAAACTGCCTGTAACTCATCCCTTTTTAGGATCCCAGACAAAGAACTTGAGTTTTTGGAAGAGCTGAGCTGCCAGTAGCCCCCCAGGAGGAAATGGAGCTGTTGGACCCACAGCACTTCTGAAAAATCACATTAGGCTGCTCTCAAAGCCAAACCTGAGGCTTCTCTTTTCTTCCCTGTAAATCTTGGCTTGCAGAGTCCTACTGTACAGCTTTTGTCTCAGACTGCGAAGCTGCCCCATCCCCAAGCCCGATCATTTTATGGTGAGGATTATAAGTCTGGTTTAGTGATTTCCATGAGCTGCTGCAGTTGCCTGTGGCTGCCCTGTCCCTGCAAGCCAGTGAGGTCTCGTTGGGGCAGGGGAGCCCTGCAGCCGCGGTTTTGGAAGGCAGCCCTGCGGAGATGCCTTTCTAATACCTCCCAGGTACTTTGGCTCGTACTTAGAAAGGGGGATGATGAGAGGAGAAAGGCAAGTGTGCAATTCACACATCAGCCTGCATCAGACACAGTGCTCGCCTCCTGCGGTCAGCACCCCATGGAAATAGTGGCAAGGACTAAAAAGAAACGTCACCAGTGCACGGTGCTTTACAGAGAGATTTACTGAAGTTGTTTTGTTGACTGAAAAGCCTATCCCCAATTTATTGTTACTTAAATTGAAACCTAAGACAAAAAAGAGAGAGACATTGACTGTGCTCCCTGCAAAATTGTATCTCGCTAGGTGGAATGACCCAAAAGAATAGTGCAAAAGTTTTGGAAATATAACTTAAATCTTTAGTTTCCCAATGTGAAGCTGGCTTGAGTTCAGGGTGCAGATGCCTCCGCACTTGGCATTTTTAAGAAGTGTGCTCTGTGCTTGCAAATTCCACCTGCCGCTGCCCAACACCTTCATTTATCCGTTGGTTCCCTCCACTGTTTGCAATTCCAGGTTGGTCCCAGTAAGTGGTCTGTGACTATCGGGGGTCCAGGAGGGGAAGGGGCTCATCTTGCAGATATTTATATTGTATAGAGCAGCTTATTTCTACAGGAAAAAAAAAAAAAAAAATTTTTAAACTCCAACAAAGTATACAGTAATTTCAGTTCTGGTTTTTGTGACCTTTTTCAGGGATCATTTCAGTGCATTTCTGTATAAAATAAAAATAAAAATTTAAGGAAAAAAGATTTTGAAGTATAAAAAAAATGCATCTTCTGTACATAGGCAAACTCAAGAATCTTCTCTTCAAACACTGTTTCTTGTAGAAACATGTTGAAATTTTTTTGCTGATTTCTTTGTACTTCAAGAGCATGTAAATAATTTATTAAAAGTGACTATTGTAATTTGGAGTTCTTTTTAAACAGATTCCAGCTCTAAATCATGTTGAGGAGATGGGGAGGAAGAAGGACTAAGTATAGCAAAGGAGCTGGTGGCATTTACAGCTTGTGTCAAGCTTTGTATAATGTAAATTCTGTATAAATATGGTTTTTTTTGTCAAATAAATAGATGGAATTAGAAGCATTAAGAAACTGAAGACAAAAAATTGCCAAGTCAAGGCTTCTTCTTTCCCCCCCCCCCGACTCAGTCTGAAACCTAATGTGCAAAATCTATTTATTTCAAGCGAGGAAATGTGTACAGTCTAATAGACAACCTAAAATGTATTTAAGCGAGTTTGCAACTGGATTTTTTCAATTTAATATTTGTTTTGTTTTTATGAGTTTCCTCCTTAATTGCCACTGTAGTATTTGTCCAAGTGAAAAGAAACACATCGTAACGGACACTCTAAAACAAATGGGCAGTTTTAAAAGCAAAATGGAAGAACACCTGGCTCCCAATCATTGCAGTTTTCTGGTTCTATAAACAGGTTGTTTTAATTCACGGTGTGAAAATAAAGGGCCTCCTTTAAAAGGAGGCAGGTAAAATGGTTTGCAATAAATGAAACAAAAAATATTTTCTTTTTTTAAGTTCCTTACAAAAACAACTCTGCTTTGAAGATTTAGGATTTCTGCTTTTTCTTTCGTTAAGCAAATTTATAAATTTAGGGATGTTTTGTGCATATAGAATCTGTCACCAGTATGTATCTTGTTTTGAAGAAAGTGTTTTTGTTGTGGATGTGTCATGCTGTATATATTTGTTCATATTTTTGTGAATTGAATACTATGTACCATTGTATTATAGTAACTTTTATAAAGCAAACCATAAATATACTGACTTTTCTTACAGAAAAATTATGTTGTGCTTAATGTATAGCCAGGGCAGCTTTTTGCTCTTGGACCCGTGCTGGGAACCGTGAGAGCTCAAGGAACCAGATCCAGAAAAAAGCAGTCCAAAGAACTGATTTTCAGCAAAGTTTACTGAAAATATTAATTCTGGTGAGCAGGAAATTACTTTAAGCAACATTATATTGCATGAAAGAAATATGTGTATGGTTTAAGTTTATAAACTTAAAGCAAATTTTCTTCTTATTAAAAATCCTTGCAACCCTTAAGAGGCAAAGTATAGCCAGGCGCTGGCCCCCTACCATGATTCTGGGTGTCCCTAACCTGTCCAGCCTCAGTGGTGCTGCCTGGGCAGGTGAGGGGTCCCTGCTCCTGCAGCCTCTGCTGCCCTGGATTTTTCTGAGTTCACATCTGTTTTTTTAACTTTATGGAGGCAAAAGCCCTTAACCTATGAAGTGAGGTGTTAGTGTTGCTGGTTCAGGTGATGCTGTAAGGCTGTTGGGGCCAGAGGCCCTTTGGTTTCTTTCCTTTAAATCAGTTTATTCAAATCTGAAATGAATTCTGTTACCTATGGTTTACAGGAGGGGGGACCCAGGGGAGCTGCTGAGGTTTGATGTGGATGAAAGCACAGCCTGGAGCCGGCCATGTGCCCCCACCCTCCCTTGCTGGGGGCTGCTGCTGCGAATGTAGTGGTGGTGGTCAAAGTGGCTTCTCTGAGCTTTAGAAAAAGATACCTGGAGCAGAGACCAATGGAGTGGTGGATGGAGGAGGAGGAAGTGGAAGAGACAGGAGAGAGCCTGCCTGCAGGCAGCTTCCCAGCTCAGTTCTCAGCTTCTATAGCTGACCATGGCAGCTGAAGGACTGGGGGGGATGCAGGACAGCCAAACTTTGCAGCGCTGGCACGGGCAGAAGGCAGCAGAGCTCAGCCTGGAGGGTGGCTGGATGGGACAGGGGCTTGTGGGCTGGTGGAAGGACTCATGTCGGAGGAGCCTGTCCTGAGCTGAGGGCTTGGCAGGGGCTTTGGCTGCTTGGGGTTTGAGCAGCTTCAATGCTGGGAAATGTGAAGCAGCGGTGGGTGCACCGGGGCTTTGGAGGACAGATGTGCAGCAGTGGGGAGACCTGCAGGCACCAGAGACCCTGAGATGTTCTTCAGCAGTCATGTACTGAGGTCTGCGGACTTCTTGGGGAGCATTTGACCTGCAGCCACAGCAAACATGGAGTAGAGGGGCTCCAGCCCTGACACGTTAACTTACCAGGCACTCAAGCTGTGACAGAAAAGGGTTTTATTGTGTCAATGAGGAAAGTCCCCTTGCAAAGGACAGTGACGACACCAGAGCAATGCCCAGAGGGGACTTTGCACATGCAGCTGGGATCTGAGCCAAGGAATTGCTGCCAATGCCAGCAATTACTTCTTGAAACATGGGAGAAACCCCAACCCTTCATTAATTGAGGAATTTACAGGTATTGGAGCAAGACTGTGTTGCCTTGGGAAGGCTGAAATACATACATTTGATTCTTGTTCCAGAATAGCTACCCTAAAACCACGTGTTTAATCTCAGCAAATTCAAATTCAAAACTTGAGTCTAAAAGCAATTAAAATAAAATCTTACAAAATGAGATACAGAGAGGCAAACTCCTCCGTGCTTTCCTCTCCCATCTTCCCATGTAGCTAAAATTAACAGAAAACTTGCGATAGACTAAATTTAAGCACTCCCAGTTGTTTCTTCTGTCTTCCTCTGTAGCTGCGTGTCTTTGGCACATGCCTTAAATCTGCCCTTTGTTAAGAACTCGGTGGTTTGGATCAGATTAAACTGATTTTTAAGAGCGTTTTTGCTATTTCCCACGCTCCCTCTCCCAAGAAGTCACTGGAGGGCAGCGCAGGGGCTGGGTCAGGATAGGTGTTGAGTCCTTTTACATCTCCAACTTGGCAGCAGCTTCCCTGGGTTTACGACACTTAGATCTGGGCTATTTACCGAAACATCGGCAGTTTCCCGGTTTGTTTGTGAATCAGCTCATTAGGGGCAAGGGCAGCGTTTTCTGCCATCCTCTAGATGCACTTGGTCTCCCCGTTGGGCTCCAGGATGGTCAGGTTTCCTCTTGCGTCTTGATCCGTTTCTATCGCTTCAAACAGAGACTTGAAGTTCCCGGCACCGAAGCCCTGCGGAGACAACAATGTTACAGACTGTGGGGACAGGCAGCAGGTTCATCAGCTTGGAACTGGCTGGGAAAGAGCAGCACTGAGCTGGCTGGGTGACGGTACTTGACGGCCCTGAGGTCTCGTAGCCAAGATCATCATGAAATCCTCAAACCAACCTGGTGGTTATGCCGCTGGATGATCTCCAGAAAGACTGTGGGTCTGTCTTGAACTGGTTTCGTGAAGATCTGGAGCAAGTAGCCTTTCTCATCAAAATCCACCAGGATTTTCAGTTCCTAGAGAAAAGAAACAGGGCAACAACTCGAAGACCCACAGACGAGCAAGGGGATCTGTCTGCATCGCCCTCATCCCTGCAAAACACTTTGAGAAGCCAGTCCAGCCACGGGCAAACCTTTTCCCTCTCAGGCTGGTCTGACTCACCGCCAGCTTGTCGATGTTCTCCTTCACTTTGATTTTGGCAGTTTTCAGCCTCTCCCGCAGCATCTGGTAGTAGCTGGATGGTACGTCCATGAAGTGCACACCTCGCTGCTTCAGGCTGGTGATCTGCAAGGCAGGAGAGACCCCGGCACAGGTCGGGCTTGGGGCTTGTTTGTGGAGCAGTTTGTGCCAAGAGGATGGTGCAGGATGGATGGTGTCGGGACGCAGAGTGATACTTTCCCATGACACTGGCCAACCTCATGTGTAGGGACCTGTCCCACCCTGTTGGTTTGGGCACCAGGAACTGGGGGGGGGAGGCAAGATGCCCTCTCCAGGCAATGCAGAGAGCTGGCCACTGTGCAAGGATGCTTCATCCCACCCTGACCCCTCAATACCTCTGGAGGCCCTTTGGTCTGGAGAGGAGTCCAAAACCAAGTGCTCAACAGCAGCTGGGCTTGATCCAGACCAGCATCTGCCCCAGGCAGAGGTGGGTGATGTGCTATGGTGGCTCAGCCCAGCAGCCTGGGCTGCCTGAGCTCCCCACTATCCATCCCTCAAGGACAGCACGTGCCGTCAGGGTCCCTGCAGACCCAAATTGCTTTAAGCTGGAGGGACGGGCATCTGCCAACAGCTCGCAGGTGCAGGCAGGTCCCTTTCCAGTGACTCGCTGGACAGTTAATCCTGGTTGTAAGACAACCATGGCACGAAGCCCGCTCAGCCTGCCTGTGTCCCTGTACCCCAACGGGGGTCATAGTCCACCACCGCCCTTTGACGAGGACCATGCCCGGTGGGACAGGGCAGAGGTGGAGCAGTGCCGGGGCAGGATGGGCCAGGGCAGGGAGCTGCTTGAGGTTGCAGTGCTCACCGCTGAGATGATGTCGGAGGTGTTCAGCGCAATGTGCTGGACTCCGGCCCCTCCATAGTAGTCGATATATTCCTACAGGGAAAAAAAGTCACCACGTTAGTGACGGTGCAGCTACAGTGTGCAAAGGGCTGGGCTTGGGCCTAAAAACATAAAAGCAAAATTGGCTGAAGGACCACAGAATGGAAAAAAGGACAGTATTGATGAAATCAGGGGTAAACTAGCTCTGTCCCGGCAGCTCTCCAGGGTTTGACAGCCCTTTGCAGACACAAGCAGAGCCAGGGCTGCCTTCCAGAGAGCCACCTTTGCATAGCACATGTGCACCAGCTCCAAATCACTGACCCCTTCGTCCCTTTTCCTTCATTAAAGCCCTGCTCAAGGCGGTGGCAGCCTGATGGATCAACCACAGGTGTGTGCTCACCTGAATCTGGGATTTCCTCTTGCCGAGTGCCGGCTCGTTAATGGGCATCTTAATGGTCTCTTCATAGTTGGTGACAACAATGGAGCGCAGGGCGCTGAACTCGGTGTGCAGCTGCTTGTCATCCACTGACCAGAATCGGTGGAAGAGCAGGTTCTTCTGGTACCTGCCCAGGCCACAAAGGGCACAATCAAGTCCCTCACTCCATCCCCGCACAAACGAAGTTCTGTTCTGGCTTAATTAGCCTCAGCCACCACTGTCGGAAGTGGTGAGACGAGCAGAGTGGTGCTGCTGCTCCATCCCACCTCCTGCCAGCCCTCCCCACTCTTACCAGTCTGCTACTGGGACCATCTGAAGGTCGGGCTGGTTCCCCACAACATGGTCGACAAAATTGAGCTTAGTGCTTGGTCTGCAGGGGGAAGACGGGGGCGGCTCTCAGCTGGGCTTGGGGGCACCCCATGGCATGGGGGGCTCTGGGGCAAGGTAGTGGGGACCTGTCCAGCTCCACGCTGGGACATCCCACTGGCACACGGTGGCAAAGAGCTGGGCAGGACCCTCTGCAAAGTACTCACAGCTTCGGCAGAAGGGGGTCCTTGAAGAGGGGCGGGTGGTACCCGGGTAGGAAGAGGCCCTTGTAGTTGAGCTTTTCTATCAAGGTGTGGGTGGTGTCACCGTACTGCGAGAGCGGGGAAAGAGGTTGCATGGTGGCCCCATTTTGGGGGGACCTCCTGGGTCCAGTCTGCTCCTGCAGACCCTGCCCCAGCGCGGGGGCTCAGCCTCCGCAGCTGCCCTGCTGCTTACCGTCTGGATCACCGCGAACTTCACCTTCCCAAATTTGTCCTCCTCCACCCAGGGCTCCTTCACCACCACGGCTCCGCGCTCCTTGGCTTTCTGGGCAGAAGGCAACAGATCCTCTCCTGCTACAGCTCCCCTGGGCTGGTGGGAGACATCCCCGGGCCCTTCCCACCTCCCCTTACCGTTTCGGGGTGCTGTGCAGGAGGGAGCAGAGGGTCTGCCTACCTGCACGATGAAGTCACAGTCCTCCACTTCGAAGGCGACGTCCTTCACCCCATCACCATGCTTCACCAGGTGCTCCCCCATCTCTGCCCAGAGCAAGAGCAGCCGTGAGCATGAGCAGAGGTGCTTTGCGCCACCGCAGCCATTTCCCACTCTGTCCCCCCGCCATGGCACCTACCCTCATTCCCTGGGTTGAGAGCAGATGAGAGAACAAACACGATCTGGCGAGGAAGAGGAGGAGAGGTGAGGGATGGAGTCGTGGCAGCACAGCTGCAGCCCCAGCCTGGGGCAGAGGCACCGCAGGCACAGGGTTTAATGGTGCAAATGGGTTTCGGCAGCACCCACATGCCTGGCATCGGTTCATCTTTCTCCAACCTCCACCCTGGCAGTGGCACCTCTGCAAGGCTCATCAGCCCCCTTACCTTGTCCTGCTTGATGACGTGTGAGACCACCTCCCTGCTGCCGGTCTCCAGTCCCCGGTACGCCAGCTCCTCGAAGCCCAGCTTGTTGCAGTAGTAGGATGCAGCCTGCGGGCAGGTGAGAACCACCCCAGGTGAAGCTGCAGTGCCAGCAGACCCCGGTTCCCACAGGGCTCCCCCCGGCCAGGGCAGCACCAACAGCCCGTGGGGAACGGCCACGGTGGCACGTGCAAGTCACGCGTGTGCACGTGCGTGTGCACGGGGAGCAGCTGAGCTTTTCTGCTTCCCTCCAGCAGCCCAGGAGGAGCAAGCAGAGGCAAGAAAGGGCCCACATTGGGAAAAAAAATCCCAAATTCAGTGGGAAGCACTGTCTCCAGAGCCCTCCTGCACCCAACGCAGCCAGGGACAGGCAGGGTGCAGTGGGTGCAGGGGGAAACGTTTCTGCCCATCTCCCATTCATCAGCCAGGTTGGGCGAAAAGCAGCTCAGGTTTGGAGCAGAGGGTTTTTTAACTCGCCAGCAGCGAGTGACGGAAAGCAGCTACTGCGACTCCTTATCGCTGCAGACTGGTGACCACGGCTGGAGCCCTGCCACGTGTGCCAGTTTGTATTTTCCGGGCCCGCCCCACGCACACCCCCCGGGCAGCCGCCCCTCGCCTTGTGCAAGGGCCCCCAAGGCCGTCGGCCGAGGCCGTGCCGGTGGGCATGGGCGCTGAGCCAAGGACGGGCTTTGGGACGCCAGCATGGCCGTGACCCGGTGGGCTGCCGGGACGAACCACCCCCCCGGCAGCCAATAACCAAAGCATCCGCACATGGGCGGGCGCCTACCGTTACACGTGCCCAGCCGGCCACAGCCTCTCACCTGCTTGGCATTGCCGACCCAGAAGGTAATGGAGTGGAAATGGATGAAGCGGCCTCGCAGGGGCTAAAGGGAAGGGGAAAACAGGGCTCAGAGACAACGACGCAGCCTTTCCCACAGTGCTACTCATCTCCAGAGCAGGGAGAAGCGTCGGCCACGACCCTGCAAATGCATCTCCCGCGACTGCATCCAAATTAACCGGGTGAATCCCCGGCTGCTGCCCCGAAACAGGGAATTTCCAAAGCAATTTACAGTCAGGTCCTGCAGGATCCTGCTCTGCAGGGTGGAAGGGGCAAAGTCCCGGCTCGCCTGGGGTCACAGTGGTCCTGGTGCTCCCCGCAAGCAGCCCCCCCAGCAGGCTGCCCACCCATGAATCTTGCTGTGTTAAAGATTAATTCTTCCCCAAAACAACCTTAGACAACCACCAGTGCTGGGACAAATCCCCCTTGGCTCTCTTCCCCACTGCCATCCAACCCGTGGCGTCAGGCACCTGGCCGTGATGTGCACCGGCAGTTTGGAAAGCACTTTATAGGGGAAAAAAGGTGGCAAATAGGTCCAGCGTCTGGAAATTAATGTTGCAAGAAAAGAGGATTCTGCTTAGGCGTCGGGGTTGGCTGGGAAATACCCACCATCTCCCATTTGTCGCTCTCCTCCCAAACCAGAAGGAAAAAGGAAATGAAAAAATTTCCATTATTAACGTTGATTTACAATGAGGAACCACGTCCTATGTGGCCCAGCCAGAGAGAAGTTTTACTTCTGATTTTACCAGGTAATCAAGGAGTAAGGAATGAGTATTATTTACTTTAACATGGCTGATGTTTCGCACCAGGCAGCAGGACAGGACTGTGGACACGAAACAGCTCTTACCTTTTCTCCCTTGTCTGTGTAAGACGTCTAAAAGAGAGAATCAGAAAAGAGAGGTGTTAGCACTTCAGGAAGGTACCTCAGCCCCCCCCCCTAGAACTCGAATCCAAAGGTCAGTGTATGAGGACAGCTCTTCTACACAACTTCCAGCACAGTCATTAAAAAGTCCAAATTCAAGCAGAGATTAAGCCTGGTAAAGCTCCTGAGACATCCCATGCCATTGAGCCCTGGCCATTTAAATTAATTCCCATACTCTGCTCCTCACCATTTTTGTGACCTGGCGATGTGACCGTGGCAAAGAGAGCGAGATTCCGGGAGGACGTTTAATATAGTGGTGGGACAGGGGAAGCTCCTCCTCGGCTCCACCCACCCCCAACCTGAAGCATTTGTGACCCAAAGATGTGTTTGGTTTGGGCTGGGAACTGCTGGCACCGTCCCATGGGTGGCTTTCCGGGGCTGTGTCACAGGGTCCTTTGCAGTCCTGGCTGTGGGTTAAAGGTGGGGCGGTGAGCGTGCAAGCGTGCAAGCACGCGAGGCTCTGCGCTGCGGGAGCCTGCTAACCCCGCAGCAAACCCCCCCTGGTCCCACGCATGCCGGGGCCACAGTGGGGTGATGCAACTAGGGCGGCACGTCCCCCCCCAGCCCGCCTGCCCGCCCCTGGGGATGGTGGTCACCCCTTCGTGGGGCCGTGTCCTATCCCGGCCAACGTTGAGCCGGGACAGTTTGGCTGCCGGCAGAGTCCAGCCGCGTGGACGCCGTCTGGGCCTGGGGCCACGCGGTGTCACCGTCAGCTCCGGTGACCCCAGTGCTGCCGGTGCCCACCAAATGTGGGAGCAGCAGGAGGAGGGGGCAGGAGGGAGGTACAAACACCCCACGGCTGGGAGCGGTGGTAAGCCGAAGCGACCAGCAGGGCCGGGGAGGATGACTATGTGGGGCTTGGGTGGGTGCCAGTGTTGCGGAGGACACGCGTGGAGGTCTGGTGGTGGGGCTGTGTCCCCCTGCTGTCACGCTCCCTGGGGGACACGGATACCCTGCATCGCCCCGGCAAGTGTGCTGGGGCAGAGGCTGGAGAGGGGCTGGCAGGAGGGACGGGGTCACCCCGCGGCACCATCACAGCTGTGTAGCCCTCCCTTTGGCAGCGACACTGCCGTGCCACCGCACCCCACCGTCACAGCTCGGCCGCCTCATGGCGTTGCCACCGCTGGGTCAGCCCACGCCGGTACCCTCCCCGCTGGCCCCGCCCCCGCGGTGTGACC